TGGATTGTTGTTATTATACTTGCTCAGCTCTTGTACTGACGAACTCTTTTTAGATCGATGAATGATCCGGAAATCAACTTTTCGTGTGCTGTTTGGAAAACATTTCTTCTTTAATAGAGGTTCCATCCATTTGAATCAATATTAAGGGTTATATCGATAAGGTAAGATATAACAATAAAGTGATGACGGTTGGTATACTTGCTCAGCTCTTGTGCTGACGAACTCTTTTTAGATCGATGAATGATCCAGCAATTAATTTTTCATGTGCTGTTTGGAAAACGTTTCTTCTTTGATAGAGGTTCCATCCGTTTAATCGATCAATATCTTGGAAATTTTTAGGATTAAAGGTTGGTAAGATATAACAATGAAGTATACTGATGAACACTTTTTAGGTCGATGAATGATCCGGCAATCAATTTTTCGTGTGCTGTTTGGAAAACGTTTCTTCTTTATAGAGGTTCCATCCGTTTGAATCAATCAATATCTTGGGAATGTTTAGGATATTATCAGATACAGTCAGACCTCCATGAATGCAACCTCAAGCTTTGGCCCAAATATATTTTTGACCCTCATAAATGCAATTTTTCTTATTGTTCTCGAAATACATGCTAACGAAAGTTTGGTTCCAACGAGTTGCGCTTTGGGGTCTGACTGTAGAGAGTGCACATATGGAGTGTCGACTGTACATCATTTATCGCAACAATAAATTATGTCCTACATTAGGATGCGCGTTAACCATGGACGCTAATATCGAGAACATATAAGTTATTTTTATTGAATCCCATGGTTTTAAGTCGAAATTCCCTGATGCAAATCATTATTCTCATTTTTGCTTGTTGGGATCACATGCTAAACACTATGCTTTGTCTTTATTAAACAATGTATTTAGGCTACTATTTTAATCATCGTCAAATATATTAAAAATTTATTGTAATACTCACTGATCGAAGAATGGTAATCTGAAAGGTATTAGTTAGTAGTAAATAAATGTGATATTAAAGCGACGTCGCCTAATTTGTGATTCGTCTCCCATAATCTTGTAATGTGCTTGTTGGTACTTATGTTTTGGGCGCAACATATGAATATAAACGGTGCTATCTAATTTGCATTTCTAAACGTAATAAGAATCAAAAAATTTAGAAATACCGTATCCTATCGTGAATAAGCACTACACCCTCTACCCCAATTTTTTAAATATCAGATTAGCGGTAATAATATGGTTAAAGACTTCATTGCGATTTCCGCTAATCTGACATTTAAAAATTGGGGTAGAGGGTGTAGCGCTTATTCATGATAGGATACGGTAATAAAAAAAGAAGGGTTTAAAATTTTTGCCCGATTTGATTGGTTAATGTTCATGCATGGATCGACGTATTCCTATGACTAGGGTAGTTAATCCACCGGTATAGCCTCAGTATTTTTTAATGTTCGTTTAAAATGTGGTACGCGAAAAAATACGAACCTCTCCAAGGTATATAAACAAATTCTAGAACTTGACAAATTTCTGTTTCTTATTATATTAACACCTACGTCTAAATAGCGGGTAGTATTGACGGAACAGATACGGTACCGCACGATCACGGAATTTTACGAGCGCAAAATGCCTGTTGTAAGTGTTTTCATTTGTTTTTACAAATTAGCCGTATTCACTGCATTTAATTGTTAAAAATTGCGTTGATAGATATGCCACCTTCAAACGAAGAAGGTCTTACTGGCGATCCCCTTAAAACATTGTTCGTTGGGCGATTAAATCCAATAACCACTGAAAGTAAGTCAAAATTTTGCATTATATCCGGAAAGAATATTACTGAATAAAAAATTTCCTCAGAAACTCTGAAAAATGCGTTCGAAAAATTCGGTACAATCAAACATATTAGACTCGTAAGAAATTTAGGTAAATTAAATTGGAAGATATGGAATCATTTATAAAATAGCTTTTTCACAAATAATTATTTCAATAGTTACAGGTGATTCGCGTGGATATGCGTTTATTGAGTTCACACATGAAAAATCTTGTCAAGAAGCCTACAAAGTAAGCCCATTCATATTTATTATGTATTTCATAAATCTATTTGAGCATTGATCGTTCATTTCGCATGTAGAACTCCTATAAAATGATAATAGATGATCGTCAAATTTTAACGGATTATGAACGAAGTCGCACGATGGAGGGTTGGGTTCCAAGACGACTGGGTGGTGGATTTGGGGGACGAAAAGAATCAGGACAACTTCGATTCGGCGCAAGAGACCGACCATTTAAGCGACCTCTGTAAGCTTTTTGAATGATATAAAAAATGGTTATTTAAACTAATCATTAACACATTATTTTTATTAGCCATGTTGCTGGTAATCAGTCCATGCCAGAAATTCTTCCTGAACATCGGTTTGACGATTGTTGGCGTCGCAATTCTTCAACAGAAATGAGACATCAACATCAACATTTCGAAGCTAGAAATAACCGACCTGTTTTCCAATACCCTAAGGAATCACAACATAGTAGGACGAACGGTCCAAGAATCAGTCGTTACCAACCTTCAAATAGATCTCATCAAACGCATCACCGGGATAGGTCTCATCACCGGGATAGATCTCACCACTCACATCACCGGGATAGATCTCATCAAACTCACTACCGGGATTAGGACTGCGACCGAATCATTTTTTGAGTTGACATTACTGTTTAGAAATCTGGGCTTCTTCCTTACTTAGGATAATAGCAAAACTCAAATATATGTCCCATTATCGGTCGATAGTGTCAAAACCAATCAAATTTGTTAAATCAATGATACAAATTATTAAAATTTTATTATTTAATTCTCAAGAATTTTTAAGATCCTAAGAATGATTTAATGACTAGACAGGATATATTGAATAAAAGTCCAGGTGATGATAACCAATTAAATTGTAAAATTTTTTTAAATACTCAAAACTTTGTAAGTGATCATATTTCTTTATTAATGTGTCTATTTATTAGTTTAATATTTAATTCTAATATCTTTATAGAACTTTTATAGTAAAATTAATGCGGTTGGCTCTGTCTCTATGCTTAATAAAACCCGAGTGCCCATACATCTCTATAATATTCTATTAACGGAAAATTTTATTCGTACATCGTTATCGCTATACAAATAGAACTTGTAAATTATGCAAATATTCGATTAAAAATAAAGTGCGATTTAATGAAGTTTACTAAGCAAATAATACATATATGTGCAATTTTATCCCGTAAAAAAGAACTTGCAATTTTTTGCAATTTTTTAAATACTAAAAAAAAAACTGATTTAATTAAAAAACAGGTTAAAATGTTATCCTCTTTATAGAAATCATTAAGTTCAACCACTCTATTGGTCAATATAATTCTTTTTGGCTATATCTAAAAATAATAATTTTTTTTCTTAAAGACGAATGCATTTATTTCAGGTTTTAATGTATTGAAAAAAAAATCACCTATTTTATATTGATAAAAAAAATAATTTTTACTTAAAACATATTTGTTGCATAATACAAAATTAACTTTATCTTATATATAATTATTAGCATTAACAAATCTATATTTACTAAAGCTATATTGCAATAAGTTGTATCACTTTATGAAATAACTTAAAAATTTCAAAGATAGCTTTAAAAAATATGAAAGACTATACTTAATACATTTTAACAAACTTAGATATAATAACTATCTATTTAATCTTATTAATAAAGCTTTACAGTATTGTATTAAAAATCGTGGCGCAGCAACGCCTTGTTATTTCTTTTTGTATATAATGACAAGAATTCCAAAACTTGGGCCGCGAAACCTAAATTCTGGCCAGAATTTTTTCAAATTTCCAAAACTTGAAATTCTGAATTAAGGTTAGAATTTCTTTAAATCGGGGCTGCATAAAGCTTTTGATGCAATCAATTAATTTAGAAAATATCTGGCATTTTTAAGCTAATTTTATACGTATTAATCTATGTTTTTTAATTATATCAATTAAAAATTAAATATGCAATTATTACAGTACGCAATACTTAAAGACCACACAAACTTTAAAAGCTAATAACTTTTGATCTAAAAAAAAGGAAGCGGCTTTATTTTTTATTAAATTGTGTTAACTGTAAATCGTAAAAATCTAATTGGGCTACTTTTTTAATAAGATTATAATAATCAATTATGTAATAGTCTGACACGAAAAACATATATATATTGTGCCGGCCTATCCGACCACTTATTGGAGATCTTTCAAATCGCCGGTAAAGTTAAATCTTTTTCCAATTCGCCGTTCGTGCGTTTTTGAGGAAAGCATCTTTGTATCCCACTCTTTCTTTGCTTTGCTTGTCATAGAAAGTGTATTGTTAGCTATCTCCTTATGTGCCCCACCACGCACATAAGAGTCGTAACCATCCATCACTTAGTTACATTATGTGTTGTTATGTCCTTTTATCAGCAAAAGGTTCCTTATATACTTAATATTCGACCCTAGATCAGTTACATCATAGTTAATCATCCGATACTTATCTTTTACTTCAATTACATCATTAATTAATCATCCGATACTTATCTTTGTTAATCCCATATTTCTTATCAATCCTTGATTGATCGGTTACACGCATTAGACTTTCCGAATCATGCTGTTTGGTATTGCCGTAGATCCCGTTGCACAATTACAGGATCAATTTCACCGTAGAACCGATCTTGACCGTGACATATATATAAACGATAATTATATTCTCTAGCCTTTACAGTTAAAAGCAAATCATTTTGGAGAATATGTAGCACCAAAGGGACACACGCAACACGGAGGTCATAACTCCACAACACAGAGGTTAGGAGGTAGTGTGAAATCCAAACCAGCACTGAGGCCATCCCCCATTGACACAGAGGTCGAACAAAATAGCTCCCTCAACGACACAGAGGTCACAAGAGGATGGGATAGGACGATGGTAAGCTAACAAATGGGATCTTTGCTAGTAAAATGACCCTATGAGCCATCGTTATGAGATTTTTATTAAGAAAACCATTTTTAGAAAAAAAAATCCTTAGCAAAGATCCCAAATACTCTCCATTGACGTACGACACAAAGGTCAAATGGAAATATTTTAACAAAGAAAGTATGAAACATCACCTTAAAATGTTTTAGACAAGCTTTCGCGCGAGTTCTTCGTTTTGGCTTGATGGTATCGTCTTTAGAAATGAAACTAAGTGTTCCTTTATACAAACTGTAGGCTTTGTCTTTTTCTGTTGGACGCTTGTGTTCCAGGAAGCCAAGTAACGAGCAGTAAGTTGAATCTTCGAAGTATGCGTCAGTAGACATAGTTTTCGGCGCTGTTCAGTAGAAAAGGGAGAAATCTCCATTTGATCAAAAATTTTGTTTTTGTAGATCACAACAATTACCCGGTGACAAACAATGTAGATCAATTTTTTAAAATATTTTTTATATAAGCCATGTGATGTAACAATTGTGTAATGCACATGATTTTTACTTTTTCACTATGTAAAGAATTGTGTCACACCGGGTTCGTATACAATACTAGATGATGATAACAAGTGTTTGTGTGAGGATGAGCAGGAGTTATGCTGTATTGTATAATTGATGTTTAGGAGAGTAAAGATAGTAAGTTGTTATGGTAGGGATGGTAATATTTAACGCAGTAATTGGCGAGCAACTTTGAGGAAGATTTATAGATAATTGGTATTTCTAAGCATTAGTTTTTGAGTAATTTAGATGAGAGCGATTAGTGACAAATAGCAAAATTTTCTTGATACTATTCTGTCTCTAATCGGTCTCATCTAAATTACTCAAAAACTAATGTAAAAAGCGATAAATTTGTATTAGAAAATGTTACAGAAAAAATGTTTTTTATGATTTTATTTATTGCACGAATATTGATTATAAATGTAATTATTTATAAATATTGTTTAAAGTCGGGTGATAATTATTGTGCGACAGATTCTAGTTATGGGTATATAAAGTTATATATAGTTTTATGTAAATGTGGGAAATAGGATTTTAAGGGTATGATTTATTAAGAATTAATAAAGTAGTGAGTACCCGGAAAATGTGTATTGGTTTGGGTTCGGATGATGGTCCGGAAAATGTCTTTGAATTTTTACGGTTTTTTTCTTTTTACTAAGATTTTATTTTTCAATTATAGCGATAATATAAAGCAATATTTAATACAATACAACACATATCTAATGCACAGACTAGAGATGTGAACTGTGAATTACAGTACATATAAATAAACTGTAGTTTATTTTAAAACTACAGTTTTACAATAAACTACAGTTTATTTATATTAACTAATAGTTTACGGATCGCACCTCTATGTATAGCCTTAATAGTTCGATAGTTTAGGATAAAATGTGAAAAAAAATTTTTGAATCAATTATTTTTTATATAAAAACGAAAAAATAGCCCTGTAACTTTTGTTTTATATGACATAATTTTGTTATTTACGAAATTTTATCTTAAACTATCAAACCGTTAAGGCTATACAACTATTTAAAATTCGCAAATAAAAATCGAGATTTATATAAAAATTTATTAACTAATAAATTTTTATGTTATACTATACATAGTTTTTATTTACATAGTACGTACATCATGTACTTGAGAAATAAATTCGAATTTCACACTGCGGTGTTACACTCGAAATTGATCTCTAAGAACGATTCCGGGAACTATGGAGTTAGTCTGTCTCAGACTATTAATTTGTGATTTGGCTAGGTGAAGAAGCATCGTAGGAATGACTTATCAGAGGTTTATTAAGGCTTTGATGAAAGAGGCAACAGCTCAAACATATATGAGGATACGTAAGGCGGGAAATACTCAATTGTCACAAGTTTCACGTGATGACACTATACTAATGATCACGAGTCACACATGAACACAACTTAATGAATTTAATGTGTATGAAGACACGAATATGTTTATTAATAATAACGAAGAATATGACTATATGAAGATAGTCACAGTACAATGGAGAATTCGAAGCTAACCTATTAAGAGAATTATATATGTGGAGATATATAATTATTAAAGGGTGTTGAGGACTGTAGAAACTAATTCAAGATGAATTTGTGGCCTTTAAATTACTTCCATGGCTACATATTTAATTACAATGGACAATTATGATTCTATTACTATCTATCGATCATCTATGACTCATCCCACCATTCTTTTCAACTCCAATGTCTTCACTATTTCACACGTACACTTTGAATCTTTATCTCCAATAGGCCTTGATCTGTCACGATTATGAATAATAGCTTCATACCTTCAGCCTAAGTTTATTCATTTCTTGTTCATTCATATGGATGACACAGGCTGTATAATACTTTTCATTAAGATAATAAAGCTAATTCAGTAGTGGGATCATCAGTGCAGTAGCTATTAGGCCCTTTCAGGACTTCCATTAATGTCACAACATATGCTGATATTAATTTTCATATCATCACTATAGGGTCAGATATGACAACTAGAAGTGATGTGTATAGGAGTAATGATTAAGACAACAGGCATCTATGTATATTGGGCATCAATATGAATGTTAATAAAACAATTAATATTCAATCTTTATGATCGATGGTTTGGGAATTCAAGAAGATCATTGCTGCGGCCACACCAATCAAGTTCTTCTTTAAGTTGTTGATAAGTGTATCATATTTGCCAGAAATAACAGGGGTAAGTTTATAGTATCCCTGAATATCCTGTGGTAATACATACAGAGATCATAGGGATATTAGGAAGTAATTTCTATGTAACAGTAGATTTTAGATTTTAGAGTTGTTAGTGACTATCTAAAATCTGATTGGTTAATATAGTAAATAGCCAAACAGATTTTAAATAGTCACCAGTTTAACCAGCCTAATTTAGTTTCACTAGCAAATCTAGTGGAGTTTGACCTTACAAAACTTATAATATATTATAGCATCATAAAATCATACACATATATATTAAAAAACTTCAATAAATTATATCAAACTGCTGAAAACTTTGAAATGCCACAATTCGAACTGGATAGTATCATGCATCAAAAATAATATCATTTATATGACATCCTCTTTTCTTTATAATAGTATGACCCATATTAAAATTGATGCTATTATTCGTATTCAGGTTAAATCTACCAAACATTGCAATTCATGGTACTAGAAGGTTTTAGAATTAATAATTCGGCATCCAATTTCAGATAAAATAAGTGTCATATTTAGTTCAAAATAAACAACTTATAAATTCTATTTTTTTTTTAAAATATGTACTTATTTACATAATTGTTTACTGATAAATGTTTATCAACAAAAGCTAAATTTTATCACCAGCTATGCTTATTTAATTTTCTGATTTGGAATTCTAAAAAAGAAAATAGGATCTTTTAAACTCTCACTTATTTTGAAAAAATTTAATTCTGAAACTCTCTACTAGACAAAAGTTGCATACTAAAGCAAGAACAAGTAAAAAAAATTTTGATCTTCAGACAATTCCAGGTTGGAAAAAAAAAAAGCACAAGAGTTTTAACGCTTTAAAATTTAATTATTGTAAATTCAATCTTTTATAATATTAAATAAATATAAAATTATTGGTATTGTTATTACTAGAAAAACTGTGGCGGTTTGTGGGCTGGAGCCCTAATTCTTAAGCTTTAATTATTAAAATCAGATTTAAAATTTTATAATTGCCTTTATCTTTTAGAATTACATTAATAATAAATTTATAAATAAAGCAACGTTTGTTCTTCTATTAGTCTTTGTTGTAATTACATATTTTATCCTAATTTTGTAATATGTCAAGAAAAGGCAGTATCAAAAAGTAGATCAATTAGAGTATATATTTATACAAATATAAGACCTGTTGCAAGTTCCTTATTTCCAAGATTTATTATAGTTTGTAGCAATGTTAAATCTTGTGACTTATGAATTGTAATTGCCCAAGCAAGACATATTAAGCTGTTCATACGTTTGACTCTAAAGTTATGAAATATAGTACAATCTTGCCCAGTTCATCAAACTACTAAAGTATTAATTGCAGCCAAATCTGAGATAAATTTGTAATAAATTCTTGAACATCTTGAAAATTAAAGATAGTTAACAAAGCTGAGATACTTCTAAAAATAAATATTTATTAAATTTGCAAATATATATTTCAATACTGTATATATTTTTATTACATACCTGAATCTTTATCATTCTCTGGTGAAAACCTTCTGAGTCAATTTGTCTATACTACATCTATTGCAAGTGCAAGTTTGATTATTTAGAGTAACTAAAGGGGAATATTCTTTACAAGTGGAACAATAATTATGTTTAAGTCCCAGTATTACAAATTTTTTTAGAAGACTACAATTGTCAGTAATTTTGATAGACAGGCTGATTCTAGTTACATGTTAGAATTTTATAACAATAAATAATTTTAGTTAATAATATTTATACATATGTATTGTACCCTTAACACTATTTCACATTTTTACCAATTGACGTTTATGACAAGCTTGTCTCTTTTCTGACTTATTTTTCTATACACTAATTGTTCTTTCTGAGATATCAAACTTTTTCTTGCTTCCTTCTATCTTTATTTTTTTTATTGTAATTTGCTCAGGTGTAAAAGTTTTTTTTTGCATTTTAAAAATTTATCAAATTTAAAATACTTACAATACGATTAACAACAATAAAAAATTTTTCTAAGTAATGTGTAAATTTTGATTACGATATAATTACATACATATTTTATAATGGTTTTTAAAAATAAGCTTTATGTATTAAGTAGCTATGTAATTTTTTGACATATAATATTGTAATTTAATGAAATAAATATAAGCTTTAAAAGCCCGTTACTTTATTTTAAATCAAGCCAGACATTGATGTTGATCCTAATTTAGGTTCAATTCTGATTATTGAACCTAAAATTTGGGTCAGAGTGAAGCAGGAGCCGGATATTTCCAAAAATTCAAAAAGTCAGTTATCAATATTTTATTGAACCAAAGTTAGGATCACTCTGGTTATCTCGAACCTAAAATTTGGGATAAGTGAAGCGGGAGCCAGACATTCTTAAAATTCAATAGAGTAAAGCTTTCATGTCTTTTGCCTCGCTCCCCTCATCTCCAGCCAATTATCGTTGTGGTATTGGCAAAAATTGTAAATTTGTATTGATTTAAAAATTCACATGTGATATATTAGACTTTGTGGCTTATGCACCACGAACCTGGCCATATTGAAATTGGCCTAAACTTTACTATTACCTAATCCTGAAACTAACCCTAACTGCCCGAGTGTTTAATAATATGATTGATGAACATGAAGATATCATTGGGTTCA